GAGCTGAGCTGAGCTGCTTTCATCTGTCAATCACAAGGGGCCCAAATGCGGTTTCTGGGTATGCATGTTTCTTTCAGAAGGGACCCTTTTGGTAAATTACACCACAACTGGGCTAAAATGTTTGTTCTCAAAAGAGTCGGGTCACTAATAATAATTAGGTTTTTTGACACATTCGAACCATATATTTTTTAAAAAAAAATTTTGATTGAAATTTTTTTTGACTTAATTATTATTCCCTATTTTTTTAGATTTTTACTTTAAATTTTATGTTATATTATCATCAATTAATGATTGACACTTCATATCGTAAAATAAATAATAAAAAAATAAAATTAATTTATTGATAACTTATTGATGATTTTATAATAAAAAATTTTAAAAATAAAATTTTAAAAGGATTGAAGAAAAAAATAAAAAATCTCAATAAAAAATATACAATACAGAATTTAAATTTAGAATAAACTCAACAATAATCTTAACCATAGTTAGAAGCCTTTCAATTTAAAAAAATATCACCATAGTGTTTGATTTGACAATATATATGACTGTTCGCTTGATTGCTTCTTTGCTGACGTAACATATCAGGTTGGTTGATTTACTGACTTGTTATCTCATGTTGCTACATCAACACCATGATTGTCACAAGTCATTTGTCATTTTTGTTTTCTATGATGCTGTAATACCACAAGATCATGCTCTAATGTCACCAGTAATTTACCTGCATAGGAATTAAAATACAGAATGAGCTTAGAGATCGAATTAAAGAGAAGTTTTTTTTTTTTTTTTTTGGTATAAGATAATTTTTCTGATTTTTCGCATTTGTTTTCCGTATAGAATATTTTATAAGAAAATTTATAAACATAAAATAATTTTTCTGATTTGTCGCTATTATAGTTATTGTCGTCACCATTATAACTATCAATACAAAATATTTTTGTCATTCTTCTCTCCATATGTTTTTTTAAAAATTATTATTTATTAAAATCATTAAAAAAAAATTCCACATAAAATGTTTGACACGAAACGAACCTTTCTGAGTGACTTAGGCTGCGACGTGCATTTAATTTCCACTGTTACTCGACTTATAAAGTGGGTCACAAATAGGAAAACGTAAGTCTCTTTCGCCGCCGCCTTTCAATCAATCCCCTCATATAGTATAATATTTTCGTAAATTGTTTTTAATTGGTTTGCTGTTGCCAAGTCCCACCAACATGAGTATAAAACCCCTTTTTTATATGAGTTAAGAGTATAATAAATGGATTTTCTATATTGAGGGCTTCAACCGCTTCATTATGTACGTACCATTGGACTTTTCCAACACACTCTGCTGAAAATTAATATTCAAATTACTCTTTTCTGTCAAATAAATTGTCTACTTTTTTTATTTATATTTATTTGAAACTTAAATAATGTATTTTTTTAAAAAGTATTTATAATTAAAGGTTATTTTGTAAAATATTATCTAAATAATTTTTTTAAAAGAATATTTTATGAAAATACAAACAAAAGATGTTGGTATAGCATAATTATTAAGAACCTTTTTAATATGTAATCTGTAAGGGAAAAAAAACAATATGTTTGGAACATATAAAATATTATTATTATGACAACGTTATAAATTATTGGTGCTACCTTGAATTCAGAAAATATGCAATTTATGTGACAACGTCTTGTCATTACTTATTGTAATATTTGTCAAACTTTCAAATGAGAAAAGCTTGACTTCCTTTCGGTTGTAATCTAAACTCAAGATTTTCACGTTAAATTAACAAAATTTACATAAGTTTTATTGACTTATAATGGTTATATATATTATATATAATAAAGCTACTGATTTCTGATTTCAATGAGATCTTGGCTCCCCTAATAGGCATCTGGTCCTCCAATGTTGACCATTGATGCCTCAATCTGCGGCCTTGGTTAATGCACATTCCAGATGATCATGTTTAAAGCAAATAATCAATGACTAATTCAATGTGACTCTCTCAATTGCAAACAAATTAAAAAAATAAATAAAATAAATAAAGAAGAAGAAGAAGATGAAAAAGCTAGAATTCAATGTGACTATCTTAAATTGTTTGCACTAGATGTTTTTGTTCCTTTTTTCCCACAATTTTAATTTAGTTATATATATATATATATATCTGTAACCTACAATTTGTCAACTATTTTTTAGAAATATGAATTGATATTAAATAAAAAATTCTAAACTCTTTGTACTTTTGAAATTGGCAAAAATAAACATAAATCTTATAGCCATTACAAGATAGGTCCTCCTAGTTGGATGAAAAACCCTTCAATGATCAAATTAGTTGGTCCTAAAAAACTCTCTTTTTTTAATATTAAATAAAAAAACTCTCATAAAAAAATCTCATTCTTAATCATGCCTTTGGAGTTTGGATAACTTGTACTTGAGATTTTGAATAAGAATTTACTATTAATTGGTTTTTCAATTAATTTCAATTTTTAAAGGAATGATATTACTAAATATGCTCTCCTAATTTTATCATTGAAAAATCTCATGCAATGAATGTGTAGATTCACTAATATTTTCTATGTTATTAAAATTTTCATAGTTTACTTTTTATACATATTAATAAAGTTATTAATTGCTATGACACATCAACATCTTTCCTTTATATTTCTCTAAAAAAAAAAATTACATAATTTTTAATTATTAAATTTAATTTGATGTGAAACCAATATTAATTATGAATAGTTTTTTTTTAAAAAAAATATAATACTTAAAAAGTTTTGATGAGACAAATATTTTGAAATAGATATAAATAAAAAAGACAGATAATTTCTTATAAGATAAATATTATTCTTATATAAAATTAAATATTTTGAAATAAATAGCAATATGCTTATTTTAGATTTAAACTTTTTTTGAACCCCAATTGATATTTTTATCGGCATGAACATCTTTTCCTTTTTAGTTGTTTCTTCGTTTAAAAGCTAGAATCTCATTTTTTTACTAACATTTATTTTTCTTTCCATCATGTTTAAACAAAACAATGTTTTTTTTTAGAAGGTAATAAATAAACCAAGTTTTCCGCTCTTTTTTTTAAAAAAATTAATAATTTTCTTCTCAAAAAGTCAACAATGCAGACCTTGGTATTTTCACAATCACACCTCATTTCGCAAATAAATTTCTTTTCCCTTCGCTTTCTAATATAAATAATATTGGACGTATAGATATGATCAATAAAAACTCCAAGAGGATATTATTCGTATTTAAAGAAATTTTTTTTTCTTTAGTGAGTTTTTAAATTAAAATCTTAAACGTAAAATTGGCCAATCTATGGATATATTATGAGATTTCAAAAATTGTATTTGAAAGCCAATCTCCTAAAATAAAATAAGCACAAAAAAAAGCAATAGAGTAGACCAACTCATAAAAACAGAACGGTACTTCCATTATCAATCATTCATAATATCAAATAAATTATTTTTATCTTTGATAAATTTGCCAAGTTTTGTGGTCACAGTTTTGTTTTTTTTTTAAAAAAAAAATATTTACAAGCAATGGAGTATCCTTATACCAATTTTCGTATCAATCAAAATTAAATCTGCTGTTTTGTAGGCTAAGCTAGAGTCAAAACACGTTTAACATTTAATCTATCATTGAACTTCTTATTATATCAAAAAAAACCTAAGTTTGATACCATTAAAAATAATTATGATTAATTATTTGTGAATAATAAAAATTGAACCTCAATGTTAGCCACATCCCTTAGTCGTAGTTGTCCTCCTATTCAACTACTCCAACCATTTCCAAACTCCTCACAGCATTTTCAAGGCTTTTGAAACTTTTATAATCTAATGTATAATTTGATTTTTAATGAGTTTTGAAAATCAAAATTTTTTTATCGATTTTTAATCTAATTTAGGTAAATTTACGAACTCAATTTGATTATTCATTTTGAATCTTAATAACCATATGAGCTGTAAATTTTTTTTATAACAACTCATCAATCTGATAGATGAATTTTTTAAGAAAGAAATGATCATTCAAGAAACAAGTTATCCCTTATGTGGATCTCATATCTCACTTTATCAAACTAATCTTATTCTTGGATCTTATTTGTGATATTTATAACAATAAATGCTTTTATATACTTTTCTATTTTTTTTTTTTGTATTAAACTACTATCATGTCATATAACTCCTGAAAAGCCTATTTTTATAAATACATTGGAACGATATATTCTTATAATCATCTGAAAAATAAATTTAATCTTCATTAAGAAATAAAATTTGAGAAATAGACATACATATTGCCTCACCAAAAAAACTAACACCAAAATTCGAATATAAAATCTCAATGTCAAATAATCCTTGTGACTAGTGGAACTTAAAATTTATTATCAGAATATTCGAAATTGTGTGTTGAAATGTACCATTTAACTATACCAAAAAGAAATTGATTTCGAAACATGTGAAAAGTGGCCAAAAACACTCTTATTGCTGAATCTTAAAAAAAAAAAATTTCTTCTCCTTGCCATCCGATCTAACCTGCTAATCTGTCAGCTGTAAAAGTTAAATTACTTGGAACATCATGGGCAACCACCAGTATAATGTCCAATCCTCAAAAACACCTTCCGGCCAAGTGAAGCCTCTCCATGGATGATCAATCAAGGATTTGAGACGATAAATGGAAAATTTGAACGAAAGAGTCCAAAATAGCGCGTTGCGTTTATTTTGCTTTCCGTAAGATATATACAAAAACAAGAAGAAGACCATATCATTTGACATTTATACCTTAAAACCCCACAAGGAAAAAAGCTAGCATTAGGATCTGCACCTTCCTAGAATAGGACCTGAGACATTTTTTTGACATAAATAAAAGACCAATAGTCTTTCAGAACACCCACTTCACCTCTCCACTTGCAAAGACAAGAAACCACGAGAGCCATTCACAAAATCTTCTGTCTTCTACTCGGTTTTTTCGCTGAAACCAATATTTTCTTGGTTTTTTTGTTTGATCTTTTTCAGTAATGGAGAACTTGATGGGCTTGCTTAGAATTCATATGATTAGAGGGGTCAACCTTGCTGTAAGAGATGTCCGTAGCAGTGACCCTTATGTTGTGGTCAAGATGGGCAAACAGGTATTACATATGTTCTCTTGGGACTGGTTCTTGTGTATCTTTTTTCATTTCTTTGCGTCATTTTGACTTCTGGGTTCGGTTCTGTTTGGTTTCTTGTTTTTGGACTGGTTTCGAGTTTGGTTACTCTAATATTTGATGTTCTGGGTTACTTAGGTGGTGCTGTACAAAGGGTTTTACCCCTTTTTGGGGTGGTGTGCTGGTATTAATCTTAGGTTTTTTGAGTTATTATGATTGATTAGTATTTAAAACTCATGAACTGGTCCTGTTGTTGTTATCATCTCCAAGTCAAATTCAAGGGGATGCAGAAAAAAGAAATTTCTTTCTCCTGAATCTGAAAACTCAACCAGGAAGAAACTTAGTCTCGGTACAAGAAGGCTAGAAATAAACAAGTCTTTGTTGTTGTTAACTCTGTTCACTTTGGTCTTTAAGTCCTGTTTTTTCCCTACAGAATTGAAACTGACTTGTAATGCTATAATTCTATTCTGAATTCTCTCCAAGGTTCTTGTTTTTAGCCTCATCACCCTTTCAATTTCAAAGATGAGAGGATCAGCAAACTGACTTTGAAAATGAAAAGTTCTTGCACTAGTCAGTCTAATGTTTCAAAAAGTTCAATGTTATACACCATAATCTTTTCTGATTTGTTAGAAATTCTTGATTTTCTTTAATTACGATCCTGTGGCAAATCTCTTAACCACTTTGAAATTTACCCCAAAAAAGTTGCTCGTCTTATTTAGTTACTCATTTCTTTCAAGAAGAAAAGGCCGGCTTTCAATAATTAAACTATGTTTCATCATCAAAATAAAAAGATAAACAACACAAACAAAATATGTGGCTGTGTGTCTGTTTCGTGCTTAGTACTACTTTTGCTGGGTCCTCATACTCACAGAAAAGTCTAACCTGAAAAAGAACTAAAAAGAAGAGAAATGCAAATAAAATATTTATGTTTTGTCTCTTACATTTTTCCATGTTTAATTTTTCGTCCTGTGCTTGTGAAGCCTTGTCATAACATCAAGAATGTTGAATTTTTCTTTGTTTTTTCTTTTTCTTTCATGAATTGATGTTTATAATATATATGTTCTCTTGCAGAAACTGAAGACTCGCGTTATAAAGCAAAATATCAATCCTGAGTGGAACGATGATTTGACTCTCTCTGTTGTGGATCCAAATCTTCCAGTCTTGATTGTGAGTATAATTGTTTTGTCCCAATATTATATGCTGGATTATATTGATCAGACATGATGATAACTAATTGAAAAGGAAACAAAGTTGCTGCAAAGATGCAAGAACTGAAAGTTTGAAGTGGCTTTTCTGTGTGTTTGACACCAAAAGAACTCATATGTCTTGATCTAGCAAACAATAATGCACATTTAGAGCCAACATGCTTAAAGTTTCACTTTTTCTTCATACTGTATTATTATTCTGTGTTTTGGCAGAATAACTTTTAGGTTAATTGGTGTAGATGGATTAAACTAACAAGACAGAATTTCCATTCTTGGTGCATTTCAGTGTACAAGATCCTTAATTTGCCGTCAGCATGCATCGAATTAGCAGTATAAAATCCATTCCATTATTCTAACAAGGACACACTTTTCAAGCATTTGATTCCTGTGTGCTGTTGATTGGATTTTTTGTGATGTAAGTGGTTCTTTTGGTGCAACCGCAGAAAGTTTATGACAAAGACACATTCAGCTTAGATGATAAGATGGGAGATGCAGAATTTGACATCAGTCACTTCATAGAAGTCGTAAAGATGCGATTGGATGACCTCCCTAGTGGAACCATAATAAGAAAGATTCAGCCAAGCAGGGAAAATTGCCTATCTGAAGAGAGCTGCATTGTCTGGGCTAATGGCAAAGTGGTTCAGAACATGTTTCTTAGACTGAGACATGTGGAGACTGGTGAAGTTGAACTCCAGCTAGAGTGGATCGATATTCCTGGTTCAAGGGGCTTGTAAATTGCACCTTTGTATGTGTTTTCAAGGTCTGCAATTATATTGTACAGCTAGAGCTCAGAACATATGGTTCAGCCGTAAACAAGTTTCTTTGATGATGTTTATCGCTATATCAAACTTGTATTAGAAGTAAAATTTTGCTATTTATACGTTTTGTATTTGCTAGCTAGTCTGCTGCTATCAAGATCATGCCGGAGACTGCTCCTTACGAGGAATTTCCTTAGCAAGTCATGGATATTCCTTGAATGGAATGGCTCCTTTTGTGCTGTATTGTACTGACTTCGAAGTTCATATGGTTGATCAATAAATTTTGGAGGTGAAACACAGACAGAAAGTCAGTCAAAGATTATTATTTGAGACATGCTATTTAGACCATAAATTACGAAAATGAACAACAATTAAAGCCTGTCAACTCTTTTTGCTTGACTTGGGGTCATCAACTCATCAGTCTATTTCCTTATCATATTGTCTCGATTTTGATACAGGAGTTCGTGAGAAACATTTTTTCATCAAGACACGTTCAAATTTCATATGTAGATAGTTTGTTTCACATTAGTGTTTTTTTTTTTTTTTTTTCATTCATTTAAACCCTGTATTCTTCGATTTTTTTTCTTATTAAAACCTTTTATTTATTTATTTTTACTTGATGGAGACTTTTTATTTTTCAAATTTTTTGTTTTTTTATATATTTTTTAAATAATGTCTTCAAACAGTTGTCTGAGTGTTTGGAAGATATCTTTACTGTTAAAATAATAATAAAAACATTATAGCATTTACCGGACTGTTAAGATTAAATATTATACCATTGACTAGACTGTTTTTATAAATATCTTTGTATAACAATTAATTGAGAGACAGCTTGGATGATCAGGAAAGTTTATTTTATTTCTCGATTTTCTAGTTTGAACTTTTGGATTAGTAATGGGATGAATTTATTTTTTTAAAATACATTAAGTTGATACGGAGATTGATGCACAAAATTACTCGAAGAAACCCTAATAGTTGGGAAAAAAATAAAACAAAACATTTCTCCTAGTTGATATACATCTGCAATCAAGCTTCAATGTCTATTGCTATATTCAGCTTCAGATCGTCAAATCAAGGCCAAGATTGAAAAACCTTACACAATGGGCCTCTTTAATTATTTTTCGTCAAGGGCCCAGCTCAATCACTATACTTGGACTTTGAGAAACACAAGTTTATTTGAAAGACCAACCCAACGACTTATCTTGACCAGTAAGAGCCCAACTGTATTGTTACCATTTAAGATCTCTAAGGCCCAAATTTGTTTCCGATTGGGCCATTAGCCCATTATTGTTGAAAGCATTGATTTATTGGTCCATTCTTTAGTTGGATTTCTACAACACGTCATCCTTAATCACATACCCAAGAACTGATGTTACAAAAGGATGATTCTGGTTCCTTAAACTATGTAATAAAACTGAACTTATTATTTTAAATAATTTTTTTCTTTTCAGTTTTCCATAAATCTTGTGTTTGTGGAAGAGTGGTTTATTTTAAATAATTTTAAATTAAACAAAAAAAAGGTTCAAATTTTGATATTTTAGCAGCTTATAATTTTTTGGGTTAGTATTTCCTTTTTCTGTTAACTACATTATAAATCATCCAATATTAAAGTTGCCTTTTTTTTTTCCTTATTGAATCTTAATTCTTCAATTATTATTATTAGTTGACTGAATTTGTGTTATTCTAATCCTAAAATGATATCAATAATCTCTTTTTTGAGATAATTGAATCTTATTTTGTTAGGAAGTCAATCAAGTAAATAAATAAATAAATAAAAATATAACAATCATACGATATAAGATTTATATGGTTCGACAATATACTTATTTTATGATTATATTAGGAATTCTCATTAGCGAGATCGTCATATTTGTTCTAAGTAGTGCACTAAACAATAAGCTATCTCCGTATCAATTTTGGCAACTTAATAAACTTTATGTTTTTAAGGCCTGGAAGGTTGATCTTTAATTTGATTTGTGCTCTTTATGATCCATTAAGAAAACTAAACCTTTAAAATGCAAGGTGTCATCACCCTTGATTATTAAAAACTGAAAGATTAAGGTTCAAGGGACACACTGAATGACTTAAAAAAATTTAGTAGTAAGTAATTATGAATTGTTAAAAGTTTGAAATTTTGTTATTAAAACGAAAAATATAATTCTTTTATTTCTTTTTAATTTTTGAAATGCAACTGACTTGTTTTTTATTTCATTAATTACTAATATTTTCGGGTTTGTTACTTTTTGGGAAACGTCTCCCTTTTTTTAAGATTAAAAGCGCACTTAGCGTTCTCCCTACTAAGAAAAATGAAAAAAAAAAAAAGAGATAAAATTTGTGATATTATAAGCCATAGCCGAAGGCCAAAAAAATTATTTTGCCAGATAATATTAAGGACACAAGGAAATAAAAATGTTTTCTCATCATCACTAAGATGAAAAATATGTTTTCAACTCTGCATATCGCCTATACATTTTGTTCACCATGCATGGATTTCTAGTATGAAACGACCGTTTATAACATTTTTCATCCAATTATCCAAGCCGATGGCAATGAAAAATACACGAATTTGAAATTAACTAAAAAATTAAAAGAACTGAAATTTACTGTTCATTTACCTTAGTTTACTGTTCACAAAATAGCAATTTTGTGATTTTCACAATGGCATTTTTGTAATTTTTGTATAACTTTTTGAGCATTCATTTTTAAATTTCACATTTCATTCCTTTTTGGTCCCTTATGTTTTCAAAATATATTTTTAAATTCTTATATTTTTAAAAATATTTTAAGATCTCATGTTTTTAACTTAATTCGTTTTCGTCTCACTTTTTTCAAAATATATTTTTTGTTCATCATATTTTTAAAAGAAGTTTTTTTGCATCTTATATATATATATATTTTATTAAAATTAATCTCTTAAATTTTTTGTTTATTATAAAAATTCTCATCAAATTAAATTTTTTATTTTTTATGAAAGTTTATTTGTTAAAAAATATGATTTATCTTTCTCCGTGTATGAATTTTTAATAAATAATAGAATTCACGTGTTTCTTTACCTTATTCTTGATATAATCAATTTTTTTTGAAATAAAATTTTAAATTATTTTTATTTTACTCTATTAACTTTAATATATTTCTTACAACTTAAGTTTTTTTAAACATATTTTTTAATTTATACAGAGCATGGTAATGATTTAATGATGTATGCAAAAAAGTATTGAGATCATTAATTTTATATCTACACATATAACACCAACTATTTCCTATTATTTATTGTTAATATTTTAAAATTAATTTATTTTAAATAAAATAATATTTTAAAAAGAACCACCTAATAATTCAAATACATGTTTTTATACATAATATTATTGATTGTTTGGTGTGTGTATGTGTCTATGCATCAATGTATGTATTTTAAAAAGTTTAAAAAGATTCATTAGTTAAATTTTATACAAATTTTTATAGATTGTTGATATATTTCTCCGATATAGCCTTATAAAAAAATATTAAGATATTTTTAAAAAAATTATATTTATATTATTGTAGGTTTTTATTTAAAAATGAATGAATAAAAAAACAAATTGTGTTTTCTTTTTTAACAACCAAATCTATGAAAAACATAAAGGCATGAATGAAATACAAAATTTGATTAAAAATTATGAAATTAAATAAAATTTTTATCTTTTATTTTTAGTTTAATATATATTAGTAGGAAAAACTATAAGAACCGAGATATTTACCATTCATTTACTATTGTTTTAGACTTAGATTCACTATTCATTGTGTTGCTTGATTTTTTCGCCCCTACCTTTTCGTTAATTTCTCTTTTGACACTCGACGGATTTGAAAAACTCTATTTTTATCCTTGACTGATTCTCTTTTTAGTTTTATTTTTAGGCCTTGACGAGAAGAACTACTTTATAATTTCATTTGTAATTCAAGAATCACTTTCATCATAAATTAAGAAGTAAAATTTATGGAACCAAATTTGTAGTAGTTTTTATTTCAATTTATTGACTTTAATATATTCCATACAACTTAGATGATTTTATTTTATTTTTTTTAAAATTGTTTATACTATATACTCGAATCTACTAAACATGATCACACACACACACACACATATACACATATACGAGTTTTGTTGAAAATTAATTATATATCTCAATACATAGAACCATTAGTCCCTTCAGTTCAAAAACTAATTTTTTTTTATCCTTTTTGCTATTTCAATGGTTTTATTTTTTGTTTTGAGAAATAGAGAAAGAAGAAAAAAGTAAGTAAAAATATGAGGAAAAAATAAAAAAAATTATTCATGGTCAAAACTGATTAAAAAAATTAAATAATTTATTTTTGAAACCAAAAGAATTAATTAATTCATTTTTTTAAATAAAATGAACTAATTTATAATTCAATTTGCAATTCAAAAATCTCTTTTATCATAAATTAAGAAGTAAAATTTACGGGAACCAATTTTGTAATATTTTTATTTCAATTTACTGACTTTAATATATTCCATACAACCGAGATGGTTTTTTTTTTAAAAAAAATTGTTTATACTATATATATATATATATATATAACACTAATTATTTTTTATTTATTCTTTTTTATGTTCTAAAATAAATATTTTTTAAAATAAAATAATTGAAATATATATATCATTAGTTTTATTAGAAATTAATTATGTATACTGCACACATAACACCAATTATTTGATATTTATTCTTTTTTATGTTCTAAAATCAATATTTTTTAAATAAAATAATTGACATAATGTTTTGAAAGAACCTTTCAATTATTCAAATAGAACTTTTTATGGTAATATTATTGAATATTTTGTTAATAAATATATATCAATGAAATGATTTTTCCCAACAAATAAATTTGATTTATATTAATTACGAGAAATAAGAATTTTACCCCGTACTATACCATACAAATTGTGGGCCTTACGTACATAACGGTTGTCCGACCGC